CATCCATCTTTCCATCCTCTCAGCGCTCACCCAGGGTCAGCATCACAGCATCCATCCATCCATCCATCCATCCACCCACCCATCCACCCATCCATTCTTCCATCCATCCCTCCATCTGGGCAGCGCTGACCCAGTTCCAGGATCTCCTGGCACTTCTCGCACTCATCCCGCATCTTCAGGCAGCCGGCCGAGTTGCGCCGGATCTCCCGGCACACCATGCGCTCGTCGGTGCTGTTGCGCGGCTCTGTGGGAAGAGAAGGAGGCGGTGGACACCACGGCAGGAATTCCTGGATTCCACCCCAGGCCCACTGGGGGGAAAAAAAAAAAAAAAAAAAAAAAAAAAGTGGATTCTCTGATGTCTCGTAGTGGGGTTGGGCTCCTGCTGCAAAACCGGCACCGAGCTGGGGATATGGATACTCTCCTACCTGCGAAAATCCCTCTGAGGGGACGGTGCCAGGGCTTGCCCCCAGCAGCAAAAAATAAGTGGGTTCCACCCTKCCAATCTGAGTGGATTCTCTGGTGTCCCGTAGTGGGGTTGAGCTGCTGCTGCTGCAAAATGGCATCATGCTGGGCACCTGGATACCCTCCTACCTGTCAAAAGTCCTCCAAGCCGGTGGTGCCAGGGCTTGCACTTGGTAGAAAAAAAAAAGCAGGTTTTCCCCCACATCCCAAGCCTAGGTGGGTTCTCTGATGTCTTGTATTGGGGTTGAGCACCTGCTGCAAAACTGAGGTAGGTGCCTTCTTGCCAAAAACCCACCAARTGGATGGTACCAGGGCTCATGCCCAGCGGCCTAAAGGAAGCATGYTTTCCACCTGCTCCAAACCCTTGTGGATTCTCTGCTGCCTACTATTGGGGTTGAGCTCCCGCTGGGAAAACCGAGGCGGGCGCCCGCGTACCGGCCGCAAAGCCCACGAGCGGGTGTCTCCAGGGCTCGCTCTCGGCGACGCGCTGCGCGTCCTCGAACATGCGCTGTGTGAGCTCCAGGAAGGGCTGGAAGAGGCGGTGGAAGCCGGGGTGCGGGTGCGACAGGAAGGGCTGCAGCTGGCGGGCCACGCGCCGGCCCCGCACCGCGAAGCGGCGGGGCGCCGGGCGCCAGGGCCCCGCCGGCAGCGGGAAAGGGTGCAGGGGCACCCGCGCACTCTCCTCGAAGATGTCGTCGACGCCGTCCTGCAGCAGGCCGAAGCTCTCCTCGAGCTCGGCGAAGCGGCGCTCCTGCCAGCGCGCGCGCTCCTGCAGCGCGTCCAGCCGCTCGCCCTCGGCGCGCACGGAGAAGGGCGACGAGCGGTTCAGGAGCTCCTCGAGCTGCGGGCGGGCAGCGGGGCGCAGCCGTGGGCGCCGCAGAGCTCGCGGGTGCCCGCGGGCGCTCCGGAGTGGGGATCGTGGGTTTGGGAGCATGCGGGTTTGGAGCTCGGGGGTTTGGAAACTTGGAGGTTTGGGAGCGCGCGGGCTTGGGGGCTCGGGGGTTTGGGGCTCAGGAGCTCGTGGGTTTGGAAACTCGGAGGTTTGGGAGTGCGTGGGTTTGGGAGCACATGGGTTTGGGGGCTCGAGGGTTTGGAGCTCGTGGGTTTGGAAACTCAGAGGTTTGGGAGCGCACGGGTTTGGAGCTCGTGGGTTTGGAAGCACGTGGGTTTGGAAACATGGAGGTTTGGGAGCGCACGGGTTTGGAGCTCGTGGGTTTGGAAGCACGTGGGTTTGGAAACATGGAGGTTTGGGAGCGCACGGGTTTGGGGGCTCAGGAGTTTGGGGCTCAGGAGTTTGGGGGCTCAGGGGTTTGGAGCACATGGGTTTGGGGGCTCAGGGTTTCAGGAGCTCGAAGGTTTGGGGGCTCRAGGGTTTGGAGTTTGGGGATTCGGGAGCGTGTGGGCTCAGGGGCTTGGGGACTTAGGGGTTTGGAGCATGCGGGTTCAGGAGCTCGGGGGTTTGGAAGCTCAGGGGTTTGGGAGCTCATGGGTTTGGAAGCTTGGGGGTTCAGGAGCTCATGGGTTTGGGAGCTCGGGGGTTTGGGAGCGCATGGGTTTGGGGGCTTGGGGCTTTTGGGGCTTAGGGGTTTGGAGCGCACGGGTTCAGGAGCTTGGGGGTTGAGGGGCGCGCGGGTCCGGGGCGCTCACCTGGCGCCCCAGCAGCGCGGAGCCGCTGTGGCAGACGCGCGAGTAGAGGCGCACGCACGTGCGCTTGAGGCACGGCTTGCACTCCTCCCAGAGCGCCGCGGCGCTGCCGTTGCAGGCCGCCCGCCGCTCCGCCAGCCGCCGCTCCGCCGCGCGCGCCCGCTGCACGGCCTCCTGCAGCGCCCCGGCCGTCAGCGCCTTCCTCCTCCTCCTCCTCCTCGTCCTCCTCGCGCCCCCGGCACCCACCTCCTTGTGGCGCTTGGTGTCCTGCAGCCCGCGCAGCGCCGCGCGGTGCTCCTTGCTGCTCTGCTCCATGAGCGCCTTCATGCGCTTGACGCCCTCCACGGCGTTCTCCACCTCGCCGTCGATGTACTTGCTGCCGGCCGCCGACAGCTCTGCGCGGGCACCGCGGCGTCGCCACCGGGTCCCCCCC